GAGGAGCAGGTTAAGAGGCCTCCATGACGCAAAATCGACCATTCTGCGCCTGATGCCTCGATGCTGGCAATGACCTTTGGTGTATGTAAGGAGTGGGAGCGTTCGGATTCTGATATCACCTAACCTATCATATCTAATCCCAACATACCTAAATCTCCCCCTATCTCATGCGCAAACTCTCTCGACGCTCTCTATGGAATCAACTGCGATGTTTACTCCCTCGGGCCTCCTCTCGTTTAGCGGTGGCTGCGGTTTCATTTTGTTTATTAACTACCTCTTGCGGTCTTTCACCACACCTAAATCTGCAGCACGTCATGCCAATGTGTGTTGCCAAATGCAGAATTGTTAATACTTCTCAGACCATACCCATCCAGATCCCACGAGTCCAGACAGACCCAAGGAAACAGAACGTCAAATATACAATCCAAGTCAAATCTCAGCCACATCAGAATGACGTATTCGAAATGTTGGACAACATGGAGAAAGTGTTATCTAATTTAAGGGGCGGATTTGATGATCTAGAGGGTACGATGAACAATGAAGAGGATGTACTCGATGATATGGAAAGCGACTCGGATACTGCAAACGGCGTATACGAGGATTCCGAAGAGCTGTTGGATGAAATAAGGGGGTTTTTGGCCATTCTTAAGGAAGACTTGAAAGGTTTGAAGTAAGCTTTAGTCACCTTTGAGAGCCAGAAAGGCTTCTCTGGTTGAATGGAAGAATTTAACAGAATATGGATCGAATTGGACGCGAGATAGCATTAACTGATTGGGAGTCTTGGATTTTGATTTGATATCTGTGAGGCAGCAAAGCAGTTGGAAGGAGTTGGATGAAAAGTGGCGTGAGCTTATGAAGCCGATTTATTGAGTGAACTATCAATTGGCGATACTTGATATTGATTAACATATTTTGTTAAGATGAATCGTTGGGAATAAGGAGATGATGCTTTCTACGGTTAGTTATACATAACTCTGTTCTAGACTAACTCAACCTATGAGCCTAATAATTGTAGGCAAAGACTTTTGTAACCTAAGGATGAAAGCATCCCATGTCTCTTGGATCACAGCTACTTGATATACTCACCTTGGAGAGGTTGGGGTAGCACTGTTTGATATCTGGCAAGAGGGGGGCTTAGCCCCACTGTACCGGTTGCGGAGAGGCCAAGTCTTAATTATGAGCGGGGTGGGCCGACTTGGGCTCCTATCTTTCGAAAAATCTCTGTGCGTATTTTATTCATGCCTAATAGAGATAAGTCACTTCTCTAATCATCTGCTCTCAATCTTAGCAGACAACCTGATCATTAGGTTACACTGTTCATCGGCTATCCGTTCGGCGTTCCTGACAGAAGTCGTATTCAAGTGCCTATGCATGTACTGCCCTCCAAAATGCCGTGAATGGAGGAAGTACGGAACGAATATTTGGCCACAACTAAGAGCGCGTACCGGGCTGCCTCGTTCTAGTATCGATACTGAAGATCAAGAGCCTTCATGAATCTTGATTGCCGTACAGCATCCAGAAGGTGAAGATAAAGGCAGATTCGTCACAATATCCGATATAGAGCGTCTGAAAGGATACCTTGAATACTTCAGGCGTCTGTCATTTAGTTGAATACGTATATCAGTACTCAGGTGTGATAAACTTCGACTCTTTCATGATCTCCAGACAAGAACGTCAAAAGCCTGTTGAGATAGCCGTGGCTCTCTTTGCCATCAACATTTATGAATAGGACCTCAGAGCTTAGCCCTCTCGCATTCCACTCGCTGCGACCGTTGTCTAACGCCGTGCTCGAACGTTGGCAAGCCCACCAAGTATTCCTCTGTTGCCTTCTCATCCACGATTGGCACAGTAACATAGGCTCCGACACAAGGCTCATCTAGCAGCTGCGGGAGAAATGGGAGCACCTTCTGAAGTGCACTGGTTTGCCTATCAACCAGCTCGGAGCGCTTGAGGCCGGCGTTCTCGATATACCAGCTTGAATCGCTCATGATGCAGGATATCTCAAAGAACTCAAATATGGCAGGATCCAAGCCTGAGGACTTGGCCGCCTCGTACGCCATCCGCTGGCCGACCGCCTCGATGAGTTGGCCACACCTGGGAAGGAGGTGCCTGTCAAACTCTGGGCTGCGATGGCCGCGGGGCATGCTTGCGATCTTCGCACGTGCCTCTGCAAAAACACCCTGTTCGTGCCTGGCGAGAAGACATCCTGGCTCGATAGCAGGGTACATCTTGTAACGGTTTGTTAATAGTTCAGAGGCCAGTCCTGAAAGGCAATAGATTAGACCACTAGACATACATCCCGGACGACTTGCTTACGGATACATAGAACCAATGTATCTCCCTCTACGATGGTGTTTCCTTGAAAGGTCAACGCCAGCTCGGCTATTTGATTGTGTCTGAATAGCCCTTGCCACCCGCAACGGTGCACGAGTTCATCTAACGTCTTGACAGAGCGCATGACCAGCGCCTTGAACGCGGTTGCGAGTCCATATCGTACTCGCTGATCGAGCGAATCGTTTGAGAATTCCCCGATGGTCCACCTTGCATACGACTCGAGGACTTTGGAGAAGACAAGCCCTCTGATGATCGGTTCGTGCTGGGTGCTGAAAGTGAAGATCGGCACCCGTTTTCCCGTGCTAGTGTCCTCGATCCGTCTCCTCTGGCTATACCGTGCGGCGATATGGCTGCCGACCTTGAGTGCTGAGATGCCCATGATCGAGAGAGAAAGGGTCCCGACAGATACGCGCCAAATGTGCTTCAAGAAGTCTAAGCGCATGTCATCAGGCTTCGACACAGACCCAAGCAACGCTCCAGGCGGAAGGCGGACGTGATTGAAGCTCGTGATGGAGTGATCGAGAGGCTTTGTACCCGGGCGAATAGGGAGAGCTCGGGATATGACACCCGGAAGCATCCCAGTCGAATCACTAAGCCAGACGATAAACGGTCTGACCCCGAGATCGTCGTTATTAGACATGAGTCGGGCAAAGACGACGGCCACGCGAGGCACTCCAGCGCAAGGCGTCGTCGGGGGCATGGCCTTAGAGGCCACAAACGACGGGGTATACAGGTCAAAAGACCCATCGGACTGCATATGAGCCGCCGTCTCCAGATTGCGAGCGTCTAGTCCGTGTCCAAGCTCTGTGAGCATGAACTCACCGCAGGCCTCGAAGCGCTCAAGCTTAGCTAGCACCGATAGGAGATCCGGTCGGCTATCCGCAAACGCTCCTACAGTGCCAATACACAAGTTGAGGTGAATAGTCGCGATGATGAATGCTGTCATGTCGCGAGCCGCAATCACTTCTAGAGTCAGCAAGGATGATGGTTCCGGATCCTTGACTTACAGTCGAAGTGAAAGTCCCAGAATTTGGAGGTTAGGTGGACGATATCATGGACTTTCAAGCCTAGGAGCCGTCAGTAGGCCGCATATTCGCGGAATATAGACATACCACTAGCTTTGCAGATTGCTTTGGCTCGGTCGTAATGAAGTTGGATCTGCTCGGCCGGGGGATGGACGTCGTCGTCTGAAGATGTCGACCAGAGATCTTGGCCCAAGATATCTCTAGAGAATATCATAGCTGTTGACCGGCCAATAGTTTCCTAGAGCAAATATACCAGAAGAAAAATGGCTGCTTCAGCAAGATTTGTAAACCGTTATCGAACCTGGTTATACGGGTAATAGTGTAAATGTCAGATATTGACTGCTTAAAAGTCTGGTTGGCCGTATCCTAGAAGAAATATAACTAGAACGAACGTCAGCAAGCGAGAATGTGAATAGGACCAAGCCGGCGACCCACTCAGTTCCTCCCATATGCCTTCAATCAATCGGAGCCTTGTAGTTTCTCACTAAGCGTAGCTGACCTCAAAATCTTTCCCCACTGAGTAATGCAAATTTTCAACCACTAGATGGAGATGATCGCCCCATCAAGCCACTTCCACTCCAAGACGTAAAAAGGCGAAGTTCTTGGAACCAGGAGCTCTAGATGCAGTGTATCCTCACAGTGAGCTGGGTTTGCATAGGTGATAGTCTCCTTACGTACCATTCGTATGTCATCGCACAAGCTGACCATCTTACACCCAATACCCACCCAACATGTCTTGCATTCTAGGTGCAGTAGAACCATCACCGCAGTTCAGACTCCTTCACTCTCAATATGCTATTATTTGACATTCCTTCCTATTAGTTACTAAATGTACTGCTTTAACTGCTTCAAGAACTTCACCACGATGAATCAGCAACGGTTAGTGAGGACTCTGTCGGTTGGCTTAATGAATTTGTATTATCGCATACGGGCGGATATGCCGGTAATCATCGAGAAGTCTTACTGACAGTTCATGGCAAGTAGTTGCGGAGATAGAAGCCCACATAGGCAGCGACTCGACGATCCTGGAGGTGGCGACGGCGTCGTATCTAGTAGACATGACCAAAATGGTGATAAAACTGTCTCGGGTTGTTTTATTTGTCTTTGAAGAATACAAGGTAAATATATTAACAACGGCGTTGTGATAGGCAGCAATATCGAGATGGCCTCACTCGGAGAAAATTCGTTCTATCCCTACCAGAGCAAACCACAAACCACCCTAAGGGAATGTCGCAGCATCAGCCAAGAAATCGATCAGATCGAGGAGACTCTGATACAAATACGAATCCTGCAGGGCCGATCTCTACATGATGCAGACTCATCAGACGGTTCATCGACCTCTCATCAGCTCGACTCTTTATCTGGAGAGACCATGTCGAAATATCGAGAGCTCACCAAGCGTGTTCGTAAAGTCAAATCCTCTCCAGATTCCATGCAGCCTATTAACTTCGCCAATTGGGTATCTGGAGTGCCGCTTAAAGCTAGCCATCCAACACTTCCAAGAAATCCAGTCAGCATTTCGCAAGAAGACCCAAGAGCAGATATCACGTCAATACAAGGCCGGGCGCCTCCGAGTTGGAGATTAACCAGGTCCTAGAGGACATGTCCAGTCAAGGAGGCCAAGTGTTCCAACATGCTATCATGCAGAGCAGCCGGACGGGTCAGACAAGAGCGATTCTGAATACGGTTCAAGATCGTTATAACACCCTACAGCAGATCGAGCAGCAGATGATCGAGCTGGCCCAGCTATTCCAAGATATTGATGCCCTGATCCTCCAACAAGACTTTCCCGTTACCCAGATTGAGCAGAAGGGTGAGGAGGCCGTCCAGAACCTTAGCAAGGGCAACGACGAGATTGCCGCGGCTGTCACCACTGCAAGGAAAACACGCAGAAAGAAGTGGATCTGCTTCGGTATTGTTTGTAAGTTAGCCCTACTCCGATTATGCTCTCGCAGGCCCTCAGTACCGACCCTTGAATAGTTACCATTATTGTCGTCGTAGTAGTCGTCGCTGTGGCCTATATAATGATCAACAAGGCTAAAGGCAACGATATGTCTAAGAGAACCGTTGAGTGAGACAGGATAACTGGCTCTCTCGCCTTAATGCGCCTGAGCAGGGGACGGTCTCGCGGGTGGATATGTGTTCCCGGATGCGGACTCCGGCTCCTCGGTTGCGGTAATCGTCCTAGGTGAAACCTCTTGGCCTATTCATTGCTCAGTGGTTTCCATAAGCAACGAATTGCCACATTGCATGAAACCAACTTCGAAGCTTTGGTTTCAATTCTGGATCAAAATCGGCACCACCCGCTCCATACATATCATTTATATAATTGATGGCACTGACTCAATTGCTGCTCGCCGCACTCGCTACCGTGACAGAACGGGGCGAGTCGAAATTAACTCGGTTTCATTATGATCCAGATTCTCTGGGCCAAGAATTTCCCCCGTCGATTGCACTACGCGCCAACCTTAGAAGTCGCTAGAGAGAGATTTCCCAAGGAACGAGGCGCGATCTCTCCAGGCTTACCCTTCACAATTCCTGATGACCAGAGCATACTATGCATCTCTTCGACTACGATTAAACATTGTTCTACCAAAATGCGTTGATGAATCTCTATACTTTTAAAAGGGGGGTAAATGTACAGGAAGTTTTAGAACATAATATGTATGAACACCGATCGCGTTGACTCTTCTCGTTCTAGAATGAACCATATCGTACCTTTAATGTCCGTTGTATCTATCCATACATTATGGCATGGTCGAGTTGCGTGTAGAATATAGCACATCAAGACCGAGGAAAGTTAATCACTACCCCATCAAGGCCCAATATAGGTTTAACATGATAGGAATGTCCTTTCCGAGAGGGTTCTCAGTATCACCATCACCGTAAGCTTGAGCGAGTCTCAAGATAACGCTATAGCCTAGGAAGCTGAGATGATGTCCTGAGACTGTACTCCTGAGGCACCACGATGACATGTTCCATCATTTCGGTGCCTTAGTTCTTCACCCGCCGATGTCGTGGAGGAGTGTGATGCACTTTTTAATTCAAGTCATTTGGGATGTACTTCTGCGCCGCATTTTGATCTAGTCGGGCCACCGCAGAGCTTCCCTGATACGAACGTCGGCTTGTAAACATGGTCGAATAGACAAGACACCTCAATATCTCTCTTCAAGAAGTCCAGTTTTCACTTTTGCAGTATTCCTCCGCTGCAGCTTTTCAACTCGACCGTCAGTAGTCATCCTTCGACTATTTTTCGCACAAGTCAAAGGTAAGCTTTCTAATTTCTCTATCGCATGTCTGTTACCACGGATAGCGATACCACGTTGATGCGTTGTCGTAAACTTGGGCTAAAGCCTCTCTTGTATAGCGGATCTCTGCTTAGTGCTTCGAGTATCAAAATATCCCGGCGCAACATTTCGGGATAGCTGTATTGCTTTAGCCCAAAGGTTCTACGAACCCAATTCATACCATGACGGTCAATATGGATCCTATGGAATAGGATGTTAGTCATCCCGAAGGAGGGTGGACTCCTGAAGCAAGGCGCAGAGCATAGAATCGGCCGTGGCACCTTCAAGTGCCTAAAAGCCATTGTTCATTCCAGAAGACCCAACCCAGCTCCCGCAGACGAGATCGGTCGAATCGCTGTTGCCGAGCGTTGACTCTCTGGTATAGTGGGAATTGTTGGGTACACCGAACCAGTTGCTTTACTTACTTGGTCAGGTCTATAAGCTTTTTGTGATGTCCATTCGATTCATATACCATATACACCAGTGCCACCAACTTACGCCGCTTCCTAAATCTGTTCTTTTCCCGGCCTCGAATCCTGCGGATAAGACGACTTAATCTCGTCAAAACACCAAGGCCGATGGATGCTTCTCGATCCTCTGGCCTGCGACGCATTAAGGTTTCCGTGTTTCTCAGGACAGTCGCGACATCCCGGGGACCAGTTCCTTTACAATCAGCCCTTGATCGAGGAAACCAAAGTATTCCGGGTTGCGAAGCGGATGCCCAAGGGAGCACACCTGCACATCCACTTCAATGCTTGCCTTCTACCTAACGTCCTGATCGACATCGCCAAGGATATGGACCGCATGTTCATCACGAGCAACATTCCGTTGATCCAGAAGGAAAATTACGACAAATGCGAAGTTCAGTTCGCAATACTGTCTCCCGAAAAGGAAAACCCCGGAGATCTCTTTGATCCTTCATACATAAATCGTCAGACCATGAGGTTCAAAGATTTTATTGACGAATTCCCGAAGTACTACCCAGAGCAGTGTATACGAAAGGGTATAAATGATGAAAATAGTTGGGTCAAAGATTGGCTCATTGACAAGCTCGTATTCAATGCGGAAGAAGCACATCACTGGTTACAAACGGTGAACGGGTAGGATCCCCTGAACTAAGCATAGCAAGCTAATCTAACGAGGAAGACAGTGCCTGGGAGAAATTCAATGGCCGAACACGAATGATGAAAGGGCTCTTCAATTACGAAACAGCCTGTCGTAGGTACACCAGGCTGTGCTTGCAGGAGTTTGTCAACGATAATATCCAATACGCTGAGATTCGGCCAAACTTTATGAAGACGAATCAGCTATGGTCAGACGATGGCACGAGACGGATCGACAATTTCGCCATCATGAAAATCATTATAGATGAGTACGACCAATTCCAGCAGGAAACAGACGACTACTTCGAGGGCCTCAAAGTCATCTACTGTACCCCTCGTTCATTCTCGAAGGAAGATGTCAGATATTCCCTGGATGAATGTCTGCGATTTAAGATGTCATGGCCAAAATGGATTGCTGGTAAGTCGTACAATCCTCTATATCAGGTGGAAACATATTCATGGTGCTAGGCTATGATCTAGTGGGAGAAGAGAACAAAGGGCACCCGCTTAGATACTTCATCGAGGAATTCCTCGAGTTTCAGGAGAACTGTGACAAGAAAGGGCTAGACATTCCTTTCCTCTTTCATTGCGGCGAAACACTGGAGATGGGTAACGACACCGAGAGGAATCTAGTGGACGTTTTGCTCCTCAGGTCCAAGCGAATCGGTCATGGATTCGCCTTGGCACGCCATCCGTACATCATAGAGCGCATGAAGCAAGAAAATGTCTGCCTTGAGGTTTGCCCGATTTCCAATGAGATTCTAGGCCTGACACCACGGACGAACGGGCATGCCATGTATAACCTCCTGGCGAATGACGTCCATTGAATCATAAACAGCGACAATGGCACGTTCTTCAGGTGAGTAGACAGGTCCTGTCACTTGCAATACACAAATACTAACCCATCAAACAGATCTACGCTCTCACATGATTTCTACCAAGTTTTGATGGGAAAAGAAGACATGGATCTACACGGCTGGAGGCAGCTGATCGAATGGAGCCTAGAGCACTCCTGTATGTCACTAAAGGAACTGGCATTAGTGCGGAGTGAGTGGGAGAAACGATGGGAGGAATTCCTGGACTGGATAATAGAAACATATAGACACGAGAGTAAACTGGCTGATGTCCAGTGATTTCAGAAGAGGTAACCAAACAACCATACAAGTTAAGCCTATAAAACTTCATAATCAAGACCGGTTCTATATAATTCACCAACCCACACTCGCGAGAATTACTAGTTGCTTCGACACAACTTCCTCCAGCCATCCGCCCAGTGTTGGATGTTGCTATCAAACTGGTACAACAGCTCGTACGGGATTGTCTCAGGGATCATCGGACAGTCCCTGCCTTCAAGATCCTTCACGGTATTGCCATATTCATCTTGGAGCTTATTCTCTCCAAATGCCCCCCGCTTGAACTTCTCTATAGCCTCCTCGGTAGGCCTTCCTGCGGCTCTCCTAAATGCTTCCATCTTTTCTAAATGCGGCATTTGCATTAGAAAAGTCTCCCAGGTGATGTTGTTCTTCGGAGCAGGGTAGGAGAGAGTTTCGGTTGGTATTAGCGCTTCCGCATGATTGGAGGTGACACGCAAAGAACCCTCTAGAAACACTTGAATGGAGAATTTTAGCTTCGCAGCGTCGATACCGCCAAGATCGTCTCGGCTGGCACCAAACACGCGGTGTCGGTGTGAGTGAGTGTTTGTAGATGGAAGGCCGTTGAGGATGCCAAGGCTTCGTAACACGCCGTCTCCAAGCGCACCCATTGCCGCGCACGCGTCATAAGCTGGAAACGTCCCAGCCTTACGTATGCTAAAAAACCATTCTTTGTTGAGGTGCGGCAAGAATGGCTTATGAATTGCATCCCAACCGTACTTGAACTCTTGGCGCTTGGAGACCCAGCGTATGTGATGACCTAGTGGGCCGGGCAGCTTGTCCAAGACGCTCCGGTCTAGTGCTGCGGCTATCGCGACTTCCTTAGTCCAGGCGTCTGACCGTAAGCCCAGGCTGGTGAGGCAGTCTGTATAGTTCTTCGCAGCATCTTGGTGGAATATATTGTTCATCGCCTTCATATCTGGCAGCAAGGATTTCCCGCGGATTTCGTAGCCGCCCTATGACACAAATGTTGCAAAACGCTTTTGCAGGGCTGCGCCATCCTGCTTATCGAAAAATTCGGATATATCTTGAAGGGATGAGATACAGAGCACTGTCAATTTAACTTTATTTTCATCGGCTTGCTGTGCAAGTCGGTCGATCAACTCGTAGCCGTCAAGGAAACCCACGTGGTTCCACGGCTGGAGTTCGAACGTTTGATTTCGGAGCTCATGCCAAAACCTCTCACGGTTCTCCTTCCCTCCAGTTCCATCTGTTCCGACTGCGACGGGTACCTCAGGAATGTCCTGAAGATGCAGAACTGTCCTGAGAAACTTGGCACGCTTCAGCGAAGGTTTGTGATTCGCAACCAAGCCGACAAGGTTGACAATGCCAAGGTAGTGCATATGGGAAAGGATCAAGACCGCCAGCAGATCGTCTAGGTCTTGTTCAATATCTGTGATGACCAGAAGTGGTTGGGGATTTCCAAGGAAAGGAATCAAAGCTTCGTAAGCTTTATACTCCTCTGTTCCTCGTTCGTATGGAATCTTGTTGCGAAATTGTGTCTCAAGGGATTGATGGTCCATGATGTGCAATTTGTTCAAAAGTGACAAACGAACGGGAATTGGGCTGGTATGGGTTGTTCTCATTATTGTACGCTGTATGGGGAGCACGGGATTATATACCTACCTAGGCCAGCAGACTAGCTTCTTATGGCGTTGGTCTAGCAAAGGTACCACTAGTGGTATCGAGGAGCGCATGTAGAGAGTGGCGTGTACAGAACCGATATGTGGTGGCAACTAGCCTTAGGCTTATTACACAATGCCCGACGTGCAATAAGGTAGGTATACGGCCATCAATGCTTGATTACTGTCTCGCTCTCACCTGCTTCTGGAGCACCCCTGGTGTCATCAGCACCCTCGATCGCGAGCATCTATTAGTGTGTGTCATAAACGGATATTGCCGCACCGCACGAAACCTGACCTCCCATCATGAAGATAAGCCCCAAGACAACAGGTCAAGGTGGTTGAATCATGTTGTTCGTACTGTTTTCGTTTGCCGAGCTGCGTGGATTACCCATATGACATGGACACAGACGGGTCGAAAGTGAGTTGCTTCTACTATACTTCTCACCCCCTTTCTTAAAGCCTTTCCACTAAATTAAGTACCGGTACCGTATGACACACCTCTTTCTAGGAATAATTCTTCTAGCATCTCATAAAGCCCGTCGTACACTGTTAGCCAGCTATAACATGGCCCAGCAAGCAGGACACCTCAACGCCAGGACAAGCCAACCAACCACTCCACCTCTTAGTCCTTATCCCTTTTCTAGCATCTTATTCACTTTACTTGAGCAGCTAGAGCCCATTTCACCTGAGTCCAAATCATGCCAACCAACAAGCGAGTAAGGGTTAATTGATCGCAAGCCTCTCTATCCTACCAACAGTACAAGTGGTTATTTGAGGTGCATCGCCACTCGTTAGGTCGTTTCAATGGGTACAGGGGGTCTGATATGCCCAACACATGAAATGGGGACAGAGGCCTCCTCTCCTCTTATCAATCCAGAAGGCGCAAACAAATCTATAAAGCAGGGTCTCCCACAGCATCCGCCTCTAGGTAATTACTCCTTCCCGTTCAACCTACCAAAGATCACCCAGAAGGCCACCGAAGCATTGCTCAGATATGTCATAGCCGTCCTGTTCTTATCCTACACGCCTCCCACGTATTGTTCAAGCAGCACCCCATTCCTTTCTCCTTCAAGCGTTGGTCTTGGTCTTCCCTCCTTGATTGACATGGCACTGCTTCACTTTCCGGACTCGCCTCGCCATAACTTCGGCGTGAAGCAACCAGCCCACGACGCCAAGAGCGCCGCAATGTCTCGCCAGAGGGAAACGTTCAGGACACCGGAGCTCAAAAATTCCCTGGGCCGTCTCCCCCGGCCACCACAGCTCGAGACGTAGAAGAAAGAAGTGTCGGGTATGCCAGCTAATGTAGAGGATGAGCAAGCCAACAGCCCTGGTGCGAATGTCTGCGCTGGATGGCCGTTGAACTAACGTCGACAGCCGTTCTCTGCGATGGAACTCCATCCACGGGGCCCAAATACGGCGCCACCAGAAATACAGGATCACTCAACCTCAGGCCAAGCAACGGGGTTCTGCTGTCCACAGCGCAGCCAGCTTCTGATAGAGTGACAGTAGCAAGACCGACTCCGTTCAGCTCACCCGACTACACAGCTCATACCTTGGTGGGCATCTTATTGAAAGAGGGTTGTAGTTAAACGTAAGGGTTGTAGGTTATAGAAGTATTGGTGTTTAAGAATCCGGGACAGCATTGTAGAAAGTTTGTAGAATATGTGTGCCGGTGGGTCCTGTTCGATAGAATGCACCAAGATTGCCCCCGTTGCTCCGTTAATTTTCCGCAAGCTTTCCCACGTTTAGAAGATCTGGCACTGTGGTGAGAACAGCTATCAAACCACCCTCAAAATCACACCAGGCTCATGTATTGATCACAGTCTTTTATGCTGCACAGTATGAGGAAGAACAGTTCTGTATTTAGCGGTAATCTACCGGTGTTCGTCCCTCTATATTCTGTGCTGTGTGTTGTACTAGTAATATCAGACAAACTTAGACTAGTTGCCCCATGTGAATCATGGTCTCCACGAACCCGTGGTGTTTCACACAAAGATGATGTCGTATGAAACGCGCAGCTCCCTTTGATGTTCTGGCCCAGTAAGCGCGGGCTTATGCGTCATCAGACGATGTAAAGTGTATGTGAGGGAATACTGTAAAACCAGCTATCGCAATTGTGAAAATTCTCATATCTGTCGGGCTGTCTGAAATACTCATCCCACTCCTGCCCTTTTATACTACCAATTTCATCATCTCCCGACTAAACTCCTTAAGTCGCCCCCTTCTAGATGCTCGATGATTTTTTTTATACGGGTAGTTAGCAATCTATTATTTCATTAGTAGTGTAAATTGCATAGTTGAAACGCTATTGATCATGTAGGATGATTAAGCTTAACGTTAATGATACCATTTTGAAGAGCAAGATAGTTCGAAGCTTGGGACACAAGGGCCCCGCCCAGCGCGGGGACAGACGAATATGCCAGTTCTCAATTCGATTGAATCATCTAACGTTACGGGATTAAAAAAGCAAATATGAATTCCCTGACCCTAACTAAAAAGTAGACGTTGAACTTGAATTCTGCTGGTTTATTTGGCTAGAGATTTGTTCCCATATAATTTCGTAAGCTAATAGAGAGCGATTTATGAGAGGACTATTACACTTCATGCCGGCAGTTCCGCGACAGCACAGGGGCCCATGTGTAGTATCTTGTGTCGCGGAGGATTTCCATCTTTTGTCGGAATCTGAAGGTAGATGCTCTCAGTAGCACCCAGATACTGGCTGATGTGGCCATCGCAGCTCACATCAACGGTATCTGCCGCAAAGATAAGGCTAGATTTGCTACCGGCAGTGATGTAAGCACTCATGGAATCATTATGGGGCAGCGCAATACGCCCAGCCCCTTTGATTAAAACAATCCATCTACAAAGAATTAGCTACCAATCATGAGATAATAAGAATCCGCTTACTGGTGACTGGGTGCATTATGTGGACCAACATACTCTCCGGGTGGAGCAACCGACCAAGAAAGAGTAGACACATTCCCAAGATGAAAGACACTGGTGCCAGCTGTAGTTGGGTCTCCAGACTCATATAAAGGTGAATCTACCTCCCAGCATTCTAGTGTCGAGGTTCCGTGTTGTGCACCTATGGCAGTAACATTCAACCGACTTGCGCTAGTGAAAGCAGCAAAGAATATGAAGATGAATATTGTGCATATATTACGCAGCATGATAATTGTTTCACAGCATGGAATGACTAACGAGATTGTTGGACTGGGTGGCCAGGTAGGAATCGCTTCACTATATATACCCAGGGGAAGCACCAACACGAAATTTATATTATGCTATGACTTTACACTAGGTACATGAGCCGGTACTGACAGTGTATTGATTTCTTTTGTGATATGCATGTACTGTAAGTACTGTCATGATTATTGTAGCTAATTGTCATCAGGGGCTTGCACGGACGGTTCTCACTCCCAGTTCTTCGTTTACGCTGACGGCTTGTGACTACGCAGTCCCATGTCGATCGCAGACAGAGTGGAGGCCTTAGAACCACCTTTTAGTTCATGTTTATCTGGTTTCTCGATTCTATGACATTGCCCAAAACTTTGCTACTAAACCCAAGACATGATTTCTCTTCAAGTGCCAGTAGCTGTAAGTCTTAGCCAATAGATACTAGAATCGTCCAACTTACCAGAGGCCCTTTGCCGGCTGTGATTAACACCAGTCATCCCTAACGTAGTTATACCTTAAAAGGAAGTCGACCAGGTAATACGAAGCCTTTACCACACTATAGGCGCAGAGGTCAACAATGTCGAGGGTCTGCATTGTTGGAGCGTAAACCGAGGCTCTCCCACGAGTCTATTCTCTTTCCTCGTCCTTGTCCAACATTGGCTATCGGTATAGCAAGGGCGATAGACTGCTAACTTTCCAGGGAACACAAGGGAAACCGAAATAAGGATCTTCCCAGACATATTTGCTGCATAGTCAGTCAGAGCCGGTGTTCTGAACCCGGAGAGCGGCAAACAAGATCATTCCTCCTATTCCTGCCTGCCGCTAAGGAGGGGACATGGCCATTTCTTCAGAGTACTAGTTTCCTACGGGTTCCCCTGAAATCCCTAGGAATCCCGTCGTTCATAATTGCTATGCCTCAAGTAGAGACAGCAGTACTTAGAGGATCATCCACACAAGAAGGCAATTCTCGGTCAATTTCCTATACGCCTTGTCTGTCTAGTTGTGGTGGCTATGGCGGGTCTAGTCGAACGTGGACGAAATTGATATCATATGGTTGGTACAATCCTGGAATAGGCTTTTATATATGTAATAATAATCAGTCTCTAATCTCATCAGTACAATCAAATGAAATCATCTGTCAAGCCCTACCACATCAAAAATGAGTCTTCTGTCATTTATACTCGACACATTCTTCCGTCTTCATCAACCGACCAGGCCTCACTCCCCACACCCTTCAGAACATAGAAGATCGAGCCAGGGTCCCACTTGTGCTTGATTGCCAGCAGAGCAGCATAATTCTCGCCAAAGAACGTCTCTTGCCAATCCGGCTGTCGGAAGTCTGCTTCATTGAAGTAGGCTCCGCTTCCCGGAGTTACAGCCTTCAGCTGTGGCACAAACTCATCGGTCATCTGCTTCTGTGCATCCAATATGGATTCCCAGGCATCAGCTGACGAATTCTATGGCGTCGTGAGCTGCATGTGAACTGTGGTGTTGCGCCAGGCAGGGTTGACAGCATTATAGACATCCTTCGCGCCGACGAAAGACGCCGAGCTGCCAACAGCCAGGACGCCGTTTGCGGTAAGATTCTGCAGGACGGTCTGTAGGGTGCTGTTGTTGTTTTCGAGGACGCTACGTGGGATCATCCGGCTGCCGTACTGGTACGCCTCAACCGGAAGATGGCCGTATGGCAGTGGGCCCATGTATGTGTCGTAATGGTCGCGGTAAGGCAGCTCCGTGTAGTTGACCGAAGCCGTGATACCTAGCTCGGCGAGATGGACAATGAATGGCGCCAAAACAGTGTCCCTGACGTAAGCTGCGGTGGAGTTGTAGACGATAACGGGATGGATGACAAAAATGGCATTGTTGACATAGTAATTAATCATGACGCCCTAGTCAGTCATGTTCGGCAACAGGGAGTAGAATGCCGTGACAGCCTTATTGAATCTCTCTTATGTTGTAGAGACTGCGGTCATTTGGAGGCTAGCGCCGCCGACAGTAGATTCATGGTGCGTGCGAACAGTCAGAGAAATGACAACACCGTACGTGCCACCGCCGCCGCCACTCAGCGCCCAGTGCAAATCAGCGTTCTCCGTACGCGACGCCTTGACGAACTGACCGGTGGCTGTAACAATCTCAAACTCAAGGGTCTGATCGGCGGCGAGTCCGAATGTGGTGCTGAGGGCAGAATGCCCGCCGCCCTGTGTGTAGCCCCCGGCCACGCCAACGGTAGGGCACGCTCCAGTGAGGACCACGAGATCCCGGGCGTGTGCAGCCTCAAGCACTTCAAATCCAAGCACTCCAGCCTCAACCTTGACTGTAGAACCGGTATAAAATGGGTCGGCCCACGTCATGAAATCGATCTGCTTCAGATTGTGCGTCCATATGGCCAAGGCGCCAGCACCAGTGGACCGGCCAAGAAAGCTTTCCGACAAATCTCGTTAGCATCGGCTCCAGGAGGTCTCAAGGTCCGGGCTTACTCGTGGCCGGTGTTACGGACGACAATGCGGATATTGTTAGCCCTAGCAAAGGCTAGAGCCGTAGTGACATGGGCCGCGCTAGATACATTGACCGCGTACGAGACATAATTGCCCAGCAAGCAGGGCTGTGATGGAGAAGTAAAAGGATCGCAACTCTGGTTAGCGAAGTATGCCTGCATATGGAGGAAGTCGACGGAATGCTGGGTTAAAAAGGCTACCGTTAGTACCATACCACCCCGACTAGACACTGGAGTCAATTCTCACTGGAGCTGTGGGAGAGTCCACGATGATTGCAGTTGTTGACAGGCAGCTTCATCATACTCGGGATCGTGGCAAGTTGATCCTATGGGAACGGTTGCGATAAGAGCCCCACTAATAGACGCATTGAAGGCATCCCACTTCGCATCCGATGGCCAGCAAGTATCTCCCGGTAGGCAGCGGCATCGTCCCAGCGCCGGTTCACATGATGATGCCGATGTAACAAGTGGCAGGCCGAAAGTAAGTACTATGACACACAATGAGAACCTCATGACAGGATATAAGATCTTGGCGAGTATGTAATGAGTCGGTCTAGATCTAACAAAAAAAAAACTTCCTAAGAAAGTATCTCATTTCAACAGAACTAGGTAGATACCCGAGTACGGTAACTTTGTTGTACTGTATAGTAATGCGCAGACGCAGTAGCATCAAACTTGGAAGATATATGCGCCACACTAGTCTGGATCACTCGCCAGAGCCCGTGAATGTCAAGTGAACGCTGACGGTAGTACCGGTACTCCAGTAGATGACCCATGCACTATCCCTAAACCTCACGCAGATTCAAACTGCCGATAGAAGCAACTTTCGACCTTAAAAACGAGTGTCGACCGATGCTGATATATGTAGGTACCGGACTACACTGCATTACCATCTATTAATATATCATGCTGTGCTTTGCCAAAGCTGCTACAGTAGTTATATATCGGTTAATTACTGTACACTGCATGAACAATACACTATATCGTATCCAGCTCTAGATCTTTGAAAGATGATGACCTTCACCAACCACAGTTCAGCAACCCCGTTCATCTTAAGGCTGACAAGACACAGTCTACTGAATGCTAACAATTATTTCCTTGGTACCGTAGAAGGCTTATTTCCTGTCGCTGTTTTTCCTATTAACTTTATTAAGACGCGGGGTCAGCTTGTGGCGTTGTGTGGCTTCAGGGCCCACTTATAGCATAGAGGTACCTAGGATGTCGCGCTACATACCTACCATAGCGAGAGAGGTGAACTGGAAAACGAACACCCCCACTGTAATCCCAGTGGCTTTGGGCTGTCATCCAAAATGCCCTCCAGCCCACCCTTCCCCCTTCCCTCTTCCCTCTTCCTCCTCGTCAAAGCCAGAGTCAGCGCTGTCGTGCTGGTCACGATCATGGCGCCGCAACTGGCTGACGCGCAGCATGCTCTGATCAAAACTCTACTGACAGAAGGGTTTAAGCCTAGGATCATCGCCTCAACAGTCCCTTGTAGTGTCCGTGCCGTCCAAAGAATCCGCCTAAAGCAACACCAGTCCGACATGTCCTCCCAAACGAAAGCTCGCGCCGGCCGCCGTAGCTGTATCACAGCCCCTATGCTCAAAGCCCTCCGTGATATACTAGACGAACGGCCGGACATGTATTTTAGTGAGATCGGGGAGTTCTTCTACCGTAAATTTGGTGTATGGGTTTCGGAAAGATCGATTGGTCGAGCTCTACGAAGAATAAGTTGGACGAGAACAGCGATGCGTCGAATTGCGCAACAGCGCGACGCAGACCTTCGAGATTATTATCTACATAGGATGTCGAAGTATAAATCTTACCAGCTTGTATTTGTCGACGAGTCTGGCGTTGATCGAAGAGCCGGCTACCGGCGCTGGGGATGGTCTCCGAAGGGGACTTCTCCGGTTCAGGTTACAAAGTTCGGGCGCGGGCAGAGATGGCACATTCTTCCAGCATACGCCCAAGACGGCATCATGCTGAGGCGAGTATACCAAGGATCAACAGATACTGCTATGTTTGAAGATTTCATAGCCCAGCTGCTGCAACACTGTGGCAGATTCCCCGAGCCAAAGTCCGTAATCGTTATGGATAATGCTTCTTGGCACCACTCAGAGAAGGTTCGGAAAATGTGCCAGGATGCGGGTGTTTTGGTGGAGTTTCTACCTCCCTACTCGCCGGATTTCAATCCGATCGAGGAGTACTTCAGTGTGCTCAAAAGGTTCATCAAGAAGAAGTGGTATGAGAATGAGGACTTCATTCGAAGGCAGTTTGGAATGTTTCTAGAGTGGTGTGTCGATGTGGTGGGCGACGATGCACACATCGCAAGGAGTCACTTTTGGCATGCAGGCATCGAAGTGATACAGCCACCAGAACAAAGTTGAATTCTATAGAATGAAAAATACAGAAAGATCTTTCGCGCCTTAATCACTGTCCGTCTCTTGCTGGAATCTTCTGATGTTGCTAACAAATTGCAGAGCACTGCCAGGCTTAACGCCGCCCTTAACCATCATGCTCGTGATAGTCTCTGGGTGTTGTAGAGCAGAGTTCAATTCAATCAAATGCTCCATCGCAAATTTATTCGCAGCCTCCAAGGCCTCTCTCCACCTGTCGCTTTTCACTTGCGTCATGCCCCAAGTGCAGTACTTTTCAAGCTTCTCCAACCTATCACCACACACGCCAGGATCCCCAGGGTGGGCCATCCCAGCCGCGCCATGGTGATCTTGATACGCTAAGACATGCGTTTTATAGGGCCGACCGCTGGAAGCGCTCTCCGCCTTACGTTTGCGGCTGTAAGCTAGTACGTCTTTGGCGATCTTGGGCGGGACCTCAATTTCCATATTGATATCGTCCTTGGTCTCTCCATCCTTCATATTGTTTCTACGATATCTGACCTTGGCTTCTAGATGCCTCGAAAGCATACTGATATGATTGCCTTTTTCGTCAACCATATAGTAAGAGCCTTACTTACAATTTTTGGCTTTACAACGCCTATACTCGTAGACTCGAGCCTATAGGCCAGCCTCCGCGGCCCTCTACGCCCTCTGGTTCTCACTGGCGCTCTTCCTCTTGTTTTTTCCTTTTGCAGTTGTGGAGGCAGTATTATTGGTGGCTTCCTTACAAATGAATTCAATACTCACGATGATCTTCTTACCCTGGCTAAATAAGATAGTAAGACTTTCTAGATGACTGTCTATCTGCAGCCACTCGACATCCATCTTCTTATATTTTTTAATCAAACCACGTCCACGGGTTCACTCGATAGAGACTTTGACAGTCGTTTGTTCGCAAGAGTACCTGATTGCGGGCGAATTGTCTTTGTTGAGAATGGTGTCGATTTGGTTCTGGAAGCTGTCCGCCCAGAGATCGCTCGGGGCCAAGACAGTATCGGAAACTGCACCGAAATCAATCTCCTTAGCTCTGGTTTTCTCGCGGTGGCAAACCTTCCACTGAAGGTCATAGTGGATGCATATAGGGTTCTTGCTGTCATATTGCTTATTACGGTCCCAGTCACTCAGTCGGAGAAGTGGTAACACGGTATCGCCACTTGGCGGATCGACTCGTTCGGCTGCAGGGCTCGATCTAGGGCTGTCAGACGCTGGAAGCTGGGGAGTCTGCAAATCACGATCAGTCTCGTCAATAGCAAAAGCCTCGTCAATCCAGGTAAGATCTAGGTCGTCCATGGTGCTGCAGCCTGGCTTCCGAGTTGTTAGATGATGAGACAAGAAAGTAAGGTTGCCGCATTCTTTTCCCACCAGCGCTGGTGCCAGCGCTGGCGACAATGAGGGGACACGTGGCCTTTTCGTTTACCAAATTCTACGTGTTTCTACGGGCTTCTATCGAGCTATCCCTCGTTTCCGCTGTACACCTCTGCAAACCGCATCGTACTGCAACTTCTACAACATCGCGACATAGAAATGTCACGAATTGTGTTCTATGGCGTACGGAGGGATTTGATGTGCCATTTATTCCAGAAGGTTTGTGGAGTGATTGAGTGCTAGTTCGGCAGTGCCACGTTGCCGCCGGATCTGCGGCCCCTGGTAGGCTTGCAGGGGCTTGCATGATTCAGTGACTATTGGCCAGCAAGCATCTCACCCTGCCTAAAAGGGAAGGGCAATTAAGACATCTTGAATCAGGTAGAAAACCTGTAAGTGGGCGAAAGCAACCGTGATGATGGGTTGAAAGCTTCATTTTGGTATGTGCGATAGTCATCGGCATGTGTAGGTGCCAGTCAGTAGAAAGGAAAACTGGGAGCAGAAAATGGCTGTCGCGTTTTGCTGATGACTTCTTTGTTTCGAGAAGAGCAGTCGCGGTACTTCCAGGTACAAGCTGACAGGGGGGTCAAGCCACAGCTGTCAGCAGAAAGAGTAGGCCCACTCAGCAAACGGCTCCCACTAATAAAGTTAATTAAAATTTCCTGCGACAGAAAATACGCCTTCTACGGTACCTACCGTACTATACTATATATATAGAGTATCTAATTTCTCAGAGGTTCGAAGTTTAGAGTTGGTCGTGGCCACGAATCATGGCTTGGTATTCGAGCGTCATCTGTGGCGCATTCATCTTGATTGCATTATCAACGACAATCAGCAGGGGTTGGGAGACACCAAAAACCTAACAAATAACTGACCGCGCAAAAGAAGATGAAGTACGTCAAGAAGAATGCTCAGAAATCTCATTAATGCCATATATCCAGACGGTTATGATCTAGAGTCGCTACCTTTCGGCCGAGTAGCTTTATTCCATCGAAGCGCTTAGCTTAATCCATATTGATGAGAGTCTGGACTTCACTACTCCTAACAGAACTAATACCCATAGTAGAAGCCCGGCTCAACACTCCAGCGTTACTTTGGACTA